ACGTGCACTTGCCAGACAGACAGAGAGAAACATAGACAGAAAGCGAGAAATCACCCCCCAGGGGGGATGGTCATGCCACAATGCCTTCTCCTCCCTTCTCCTCTCGGGATCTTGGGCACGCACGCACATACACCCAGTGTGAGTTTTAAGCCACCGGGTCCGGGACGCGAACCACGGTCAACTACATGGGAGTCCAGCGACATAGCCATTACGCTAACTGCTGGTTCCCATATTTTTAAGATTTTTTTAAAATTTAATTTATTTATTTTAATTTGAATGGAGAGGGAGAGAGACAGAGACAGAGAAAGGGGGACAGAGAGAGCAAGCCACTAGGTCTGGGGAGTCAACTGTGATTGACCCTGGTCCAGCACCCTTAACCACGATGCCACCTGCCGGCCCATCAGGTTCCTGTTTATTCTACCGAGCTCTGGACTTCCATTTGCTTGGCGTAGGGGTTGGCCGAGAGAAAACTGGCATCGGGATTCCCTCCTGTGTGGAAGGGAGGATGGAACGCTAGCGTGAGGGACTACTACCGCTTTTCAAGTGCCCACAGCACAGACAGAGCGGTAATGAGTAAAACCCAACAATTCCATCTAGCAAAGACCGCGACTGTTTTCTGTTCTCCAAGGATTGGGATTAAACAGACTGATTACCTTTTGTTGGTGGGGTAGGAAGAGAGTGGTGGGAAGGCCAGCTGGTGAAAACACAGAAAACCTTATTTTTGGAACTCTGACAGTGAAAAGTGGGTCCCCATGCCATCAGTATTCTAGCTGCCCAGTCTCTCCAAATCCCCCAATAAAACAGGCTTGCGGCCCAGGAGGTGGCGGAATGGTGAAGGCACTGGACTCCCACGTGGCCTACCGCGGTCCAAGTCCTGGAGCTGGCGACTTGGTTTCTCACTCTCTCTCTCTCTCTCTGGTCAAATTAAAAAATGATAATAATAAATAAAAACAATCCTTAAAAAGGCAAAACAAACAAAAAATCAGGCATAGGATCTAAACAGTCGAATCATGGCTAGGCTGTAGCTAATCCCAGCCAGCCCTAGCCCTCTCTCAGTAGCACCTTCAGCACCCCCGCAGGGTTCCAACCAGCAGATGGCGCCAAAGCGCAGCCGAGACGGGTGGCTTGGACTCAGCGGGACCTGCCAGGGCCAGAGAGGAGAGTAGGTTACTAGAGGGTCTCTGGGAAGGGGCCAGGACTCTGTCCACCCCGCCCCTTCTCAAGGTTTGAAACTCGTGTGTAGGGAGTATGAAAACCCCCAGTTAGGGAATGTGAGAACCCAAAGTGTGCATTTTCTGGGGAGAAGTGGATAAGCCATACAGAAGTAAGCGCACAGCAGTCTGGTGAAGACCCAGAGTTGTTCTGAAGTTTCCTCTGGTCTGAGAGTAGCTCATGCAAAGGTTTCTCGTCGCCCAAGAGACGCACAAGGGTGGCTGAAGAGTGGAAGTGGCCTTGAAGTCTGGTCCGGAAGTGTCTGTGCCAAAAACTGGGAAACGTGGGAAATTAATGTCTCCGAGGCTATGGCAGTAGACAAAGGCCAGGGAACCAGCAGTTAGTGTAATGGCTATGTCACTGGACTCCCACGTAGTCGACCGTGGTTCGCATCCCGGACCCGGCGGCTTAAAACTCACGCCGGCGCGTGTGCGTGCGTGCCCAAGATCCCAAGAGGAGAATGGAGGAAGGAGAAGGGATTGCGGCGTGACCATCCCCCCTGGGGGGTGATTTCTCGCTTTCTGTCTCTATGTCTCTCTGTCTGTCTGGCGAGCGCACGCGCCCTATAGCGAAAAACCTCCCCCCCCCCAAAAAAAAAGCCTGAAGGGATGATAAGGAGTAGGGCAGTGGACACCAAAGCCAGCAGAATATTCAGGTGACCCTCCCTGAGTGCTACAAAAGTATCCCACAACTCAGATGCAACCTCCCGGGGGAAGATCGAAAGTGAGAAACACTAACTAGGAAAATGCTAAAAAAACAGAAGTGACTGAGTTTACCCTAAAAAGACTGATAATACGTGTGTGATTGGTGGGGTTTTAAAAAAATAGGTATTATATAGTGGGTAGACAAAATAGAACAAAAGCATGTAATAGAAAATGAAGTTATGGGACCAGCAGATGGTGTATTGGTTACGTTGCTGTTCTCCTACAGAGTTGACCATGGTTGGAGTCTTGGACTTGGCGGCTTAAAACTCAGGCTGGGCACATGTGTGGGTGTGCACAAACTTCCAAGAGTAGAATGGAGGAGAAAGGATTGTGGTCTGGTCATCCCCCTGGGAGATGATTTCTTGCTTTTTGTCTCTCTGTCTCTCTGTCCCTCTGTCTCTCCACTGAGTGCCCACGCTGTATAATAAAAATCTCTCTTTAAGAAAAAAAAAGGAAAGAAAACGAAGCTACATCGATTTACCAGGCTTGATTCTGTATCCTGTGAAATGCATATCAGCTATCAGTTATGAATATTAAATAAAAATTGACTGCATGTAAGAAACCTTGGGCTGGGAATCAGCAGTTAGCGTAATGGCTATGTCGCTGGACTCCCACGTAACGACCGCGGTTCGCGTCCCGGACCCGGTGGCTTAAAACTCACGCCGGGCCTGTGTGCATGCGTGCCCAAGATCCTGAGAGGAGAATGGAGGAGAAGGGATTGTGGCATGACCATCCCCCCTGGGGGTGATTTCTCGCTTTCTGTCTCTCTATTTCTATCTTTCTGGTGAGCGCACGCGCCCTATAGCGAAAACCTCTCCAAAAAAAAAAGAAAGAAAGAAAGGAAGAAAGAAAGAAAGAAAGAAAGAAACCTTGGGCCGACTCCATGGTCTGGTGCCTAAGGCAGCCAGATCCCACATGGCCAACTAAGCAATTTGAGGAGCTTGACAGGCACATGTGCGTATGAGCCCAAAAATCTCACGGCAAGCTAGAGATGGAGGAGAAGGGATTATGGTGTGACCCTTCCCCACCATAAGGGAAGGTACTTTCACCTCTTCATCTCTCTCTGTCTCCCAACTTCTGTCTCATGAATGCACACAACCTCTAGCACAAAAGAAAGAGAGATTGACAGAAAAGAAACTTTAATATCTGAAACATGAGTTGGCCCATGACTTGGTGGTTAAGGCGGCCAAATCCTAAAGGGTAGACTGAGGGTTTGAGTCCTGATCTGGTGGTTTCATAAACACCCTGGGTGTGTGTGCATGCCCCCAAACCTGAAAGGATAGAGAAATGAAGACAGGATTGAGGTATGACCACACTCCATTAGGGGGTGATTTCTCCTCTCCCTCTCTCTCTTTCTCTGGTGTGCACCTGCCGTATGACCACCACCCCCCAAAAAAAAGGAAAAGAAAAAAAGAAAGAAATCTTAACAATTAGAAGTAGAAGCTATATAGACTACACTCTCTAGCCTCATTGTAACCAATGACTAAGTCAAAACAAAACAAAACCCAGCCAGTCACTTGAAAAATCAAAAAAGAGGAAAAAAATCCAATAGCACTACAATTATAGAAAAATCACTACTATATTAGATTCTATAAAGAAAGAATGAGTAAGAAAATACAATGTATCAAGTCTAAGATGCATGGAAGAAGCTGTTTTTTTCAGATAGAAATTCATAGCTTTAAATGTTCTTGTTAGCTCAGTGAAAGAGAATTAATAAACTAAGTATGCATTTAGAATTTTAGAAAAAGATAAAATGTTTCCAAAATAGGAGTAAAGACCTAACTATCAAAATTAATTAGAACTCTTTTCCATCTGAAACTACGAAGGTCACTGAAGAGAAGAAAAAGAAGGTTCCTGTTGCTTCAGAAACCAAGAAAAAGGTCCTGCTATACCAGAAACCTGTAAGAAAAGTGAAGAAATTTTGCAGAACTGAAGAAGTTTGTTCAAAAAATGCTTTGATATGAAAGGAGGAAGCCTATCTATGAGAAAGCTAAGCACTGTCAACAGGAAGTGTAGGTGTACGTGCAGAACTGAGATCTGAATGCCCAGGATAGCAAGAAAAGCTGACAAGTTCTATGTCCCTGCAGAAGCCCAACAGGCAATTGTCATCAGGATCAGAGGTGTCAATGGTGTGAGCCCAAAGGTCCAAAGGGTGTTGCAGCTTCTTCACCTGTGTCAGATCTTCAGGGACACCTTTGTTAAGCTCAACAGGGCTTCAGTTAGCATGCTGAGGATTGTAGAACCATAGTGTTCATGGGAATACCACAACCCAAAATCAGTAAGTGAACTCAGCTGCATGTGTGGTTATGGTGAAATCAGTAAGAAGCCAATAGCCTTGAGCGGTAACTCACTCCATCTCTTGGTAAATTTGGCATCATCTGCATGGAGGATCTGATTTATGAGTTTCTACTGTTGGAAAACACTTCAAAGAAGCAAATAGCTTCCTGTCTGTGGTCTTCAAGTCCTCGTGGACCTTCTCCATGAGGTGGAATGAAGTAAAAGACCACCCATTTTGTAGAAGGTGGAGATGCTGGCACAGGGGAAGACCAGATCACCAGGCTTATTAGAAGAATGAACTAAGGTATCTACCATTATTATTCTTTACCTCTTTCTTTCTTTCTTTCTTTCTTTCTTTCTTTCTTTCTTTCTTTCTTTCTTTCTTTCTTTCTTTCTTTTTTAAAGAGAGATTTTTGCTATAGGGTGCGCGCTCACCACAGAGACAGATAGCGATAGAGAGACAGAAAGCGAGAAATCACTTCCCCCTCAAGGGGGAATGGCCATGCCGCAATCCCTTCTCCTCCACTCTCCTCTCAGGATTTTGGGCACGCACGCACACGTGCCCAGAGTGAGTTTAAAGCCGCCAGGTCCAGGACTGGACCCATGGTAGACTACGTGGGAGTCCAGCTATGTAACCAGTTCACCATTTACTGTTCCCTCTATCATGATTCTTACTGTGATTTTGTCAGTTAATGAACAGTGACTTCTTTCAGGCTGAAAATGTTATTGATTAAATAACAATTTAAAAAACAGACGAATTTCAGTAAGAGAAAGTACAAAATATAAATCTCTTACCTTGTCCTTCAGGAACGCTTGGCCGTTGTTCCATCTTCAGCAGAGGACCTTTCCCCCACTCCAGTTTGCCTGCTCTAGCCCTTTAGGAGAGCAGGGATACAGCCTTCCTCACAGGTGAGTGCCCACTAGATTTAAAGGTGACCTTTAAAATCCCAGAGTCCACACCTGCATAGCCCAGAAGCTAGGGACAGTCCTCCTTCAGGATAACAACATGGCAGAATGATATGAGGACGAGATGAATTACTATAACCAACTGAAAAGTGGAAAGAGAAAAAGAGAGAGAAGAAACTTTAATAAAAGAGAAGTTGTATAGCTCACATTTTCTAGCCATATTGTAACCAATGAGTAAGTCAAAACAAACAGGTGTGTGTGTGTGTGTCTATGTATGTAAGTGTGAGTGTGGCTGTGCTATTTCAATTCTAGAATTACAGCAAATTATTGAATCTAGATCATTTCTAAGCATCCAATCCCAACACATAAGCACATTAAAAAATATTTATTTATTTAATTGTATTATTTTTTAAAAATTCACCAGAAAGAAACAGAGAAAGAGAGAGAGGGAGAGTGAGAAAGCAAGCCACCAGGTCCAGGACTCGAACTGCATTCGGCCCTGTGGGAATCCAGCACCTTAAACACCGTGCCACCTGCTGGCCCAAGCACATTTAAAGAAATGTGTCCCAGGACAGTGATGAACATGCAGTATAAACTAAAGATTTTGATGAATTCCAATTGTGCACCTGAAATTTCTTAAAGGCCTGCAGAAAGGAACTAGCCTGATTTCCTTATCAGTCTCTATCATCTGTAACTAACTGAACACTAAGCCAGGAACTCCGTGTCAGACAGCTATGATCTCATTTAACTTCTAATTGCAAAGGAGGTACTGTCAGCATTGCCCCTTAAACATGTAGTGTTCATGGAGGAGTTCAGGTGACCTGCTGAGGCTCAGCTATGCACTGCCACCCTGCGATGCTGGTGCCATCTGGGAAGGGCTCCATGTCCCGGACCCCAGGTCGACCTGAATACTCTAGTGCTGAGCACTGTGATCCTGACTGGCTAGAAGGCTGGGAACAGATCTCGGTGTGGCAAGACCCTGTCAAGGGTGTTTCTCTCTGTCTCTTTTTCTCATTAAACAAAAAACTTTTAGATGTACCTTGCCTTGCCTCACACGGCTAGCCTAATGCTGTGCCAGGAGTCTAGATGAGGTTTGCATGGCTCTGGAGATACTGGTCTTATCACGCTCTCATCTCTCATGATTTAAAAATGGTTTTGTCTCTATTCTTTTTTTAAATTTTTTAAAATTTTTTGAGAGGTCTTTTTTTTTTGGAGAAGTTTTTGCTATAGGGCACGTGTGCTCGCCAGACAGACAGAGACAGAGAGACAGAGAGACAGGAAGTGAGAAATCACCCCCTAGGGGGGATAGCCACGCCACAATCCCTTCTCCTCCATTCTCCCTCTCGGGATCTTGGGCACACACGCACACGCACCCGGCATGAGTTTAAGCCACCGGGTTCGGGACTCAAACCATGGTCAACTACGTGGGAGTCCAGTGGCATAGCCATTACGCTAACTGCTGGTCCCTGTCTCTATTCTTGTTGTATGCATATGGGGTGCTCTTTCTCTCTCTCCTTGTCTCTCTCTAATGAGTGCACATATCCTCTGGTAAATTTTAAAATGTATATATGTATGCTCACCTTAGTTTTTTTTTTTTTTTTTTTTTTTGTTTGTTTGTTTGCTTTGCGGCCCTGGGTCTGGTCTGAAGGGGCATCCCAGGTATAGCCCCAAGAGCATGGGGCACTGCGTTGTGGCATGACCACCACAAGGTGGCAGCAGAATCTGCAGCTTTTTCCCTATTCTAAAGTCCCACCTCTTTTTCATGCATCTGTTCAGGTTGGGGAGGTCTCCTTGTTCTCCAGATCCTCTGGTTGCTAGTTTGGCTTCAGAGTCTGCTCTTTGTCATATCACTATCCTGCCTCCCACAAAACAAGCCTGGCTTGCATTGGATCACACCGTTGCTAATACACAGTGCTTTTCTGTACTTGAGTCCCAGGCAAGGGCTAGGTTACAAAAAGCAGCTACTCTAGACACTGAATGTTGTAGAAACGTAGCCGTGTTGCTTCACAAAGTGTTTGTTTTTATTGTAAATAGTAGGAAGTGTCCGTAAGTTGCTATTTCATCATTTTCCTCCAAATTTTGGTATCCACTCTTAAGCAAAATCCATAGACTTCCCAGAATCAGCTAAATCTCAGGGACAGGAGACTATCCCAAGCCTGAGAAGATTAAAATTCCCCAAACTGCATTGGTGGTGCTGAATAGAACTGGTTCTCCTAGCTACACTTACCATCAGTTCCTCTGAGCTTTATTTTTTTTTTTTTTTACTGGATCGTTCTTTCATTCCATCCATCCTTCTTTATCTCTCTCTCTTTTTCTTTTCATGATAGAACATTTGTGTGAGCAGTGCTCTCCATAGGTTCTGGTTGTGCCATGATCTCCTCCCTGCAGTCCTCCAGCCTGCCAGGATCCCAGGCCCACACACAGGCCTGACATGTTTTCAGGCCGAGTTGGCCTAGGACTTGAACTGTGGTTGACATGTGGCTTCCAGCCTTGTAGTCCAGTAAGTTACCTATGGTGCCCCAAAGGCTGGGCCTGAGTATGTTATTATTAGTGGCGAGCCTTTTTGTTTTCCTCTGGTATTATATCTGTTTCCATCAAGTTAGTTCATTTCTTTCTTTTTTCTTTCTTGTTTATGTATTTTGGTCTCTGTCTTTCGTGTTGGAGGCTTTCCTCAAATGTCTGGTGATGCTCAACTCTCCAGACTTAAGTGGGCATATTAGAGAGCTGACTGGAAGTTGTGAGGAGTGTGTATGGGGGAGAGAGAGACACACAGAGACAGACAGAGAGAATAGAAGTGGGCTTTACATGGAGGGCAGGGAAGGGCACAGTTTTCACCATGGAACTCCCATGTCAGCTTTTGAGTCTTCTTTGTTAGGTTAGCTGGATTCTCGGAAGAAGGTTCTCCAGTCTACAGGTGAGTATGTGAGGCTGGCCGGGCACCCCCACAGCTGAGCACAGGATCTGCTGTTAACTGCTCATCTCGTCCTGCCATGGGGTTACCGTCATCTGTCCTTCCTTCCTCATGGAGTTGTTGAGAGGGTAGGAAAGGATAAAATATATGAATATGTTCTGAAAATAGTGAAATTATTTGGGCGCAATACTGAACACTGGGCAGATATGCCCATAGTTGAATATGACAGGACTCTTGTTCTCCGAATTTTAAAATAAAGGAGGCCGATGGGTAGGCAGATAATTACAACTCAGTATTTCGTGCTGTGTTGAAGGTTGGCACAGAGTCTAGGGAGAATGTACGAGTTGGAAATCTTACTCCATGTTGTTGTGGGAGAGGTAAGAGAAGCTTTCCCGAGGTTATATTCCAGGACATGCAGTGGTTAATTCAGTGTGGAGGGGAGAGTGAGCTGCCGAGCACAGAAGCATAAAAGACAATGATATGTTTGAGAAATGATTTGTGATTTCCTCTGGCTGACTGCGGGCTATGAGGGGAGCCCTGTGAGGCTCGGGGTGCAAGCAGTATATTCTCCTAACGGTCTGTGTGAATTCTATTGTGAAGGCAGTCCCTGATGTGATGGGATTTGTATTTTTGATATTACTTCTTTCTTCAGTTAGTGTGGAAAATGCCTTGGAAGGGATGATGGAAGAGGCAAGGGGGTGACAATTAGAGGTTGCTGCTAAGTCAGAAACCAGAATGGTGACTAGAGAGGAAGGGTGGGTTTGATGGCTATTTCGGAGATGAAACCCACCACCCTGGTGAACAAAGGAACGAGTAGTGAGAAGAGAAAAGAGTCCAGGCTGGCTCCCTGGCTCCTGGGCTGAGGAAGGGATGGGTGGCAATAACATTCTCTGAGAATGAGAATAAAGGGGGAGCGATGTCATCCGATCATTCCATACCTGTTTGTTGAACACCTACTGCATCCCCGTTGCTGTGCAGAATGCTCGGTATGCAGGGCTGAGCAAGATGAATACCTGTGAGATAAACAGATACTGTAACATAATCAGGAAAATACACGATTATAACTTGTGGAGTTTGTCCAAGGGTTAGGAGAAAATATACCTCTTGGTCTAATTTAGATTTGATGATCAAGGCAGGCTTTTCTAAGGAAGTGATGTTTGGAGTAAGGTCTGAGGATGAGGGGAGTGGAAGTAAAGAGATGGGGGGAGCCATGGAATGAGGAATACCCAGGGTAAGAAGCCAGTGAGAGCCAGCTGGGGTGGCTTGAAATTGGATACTGAGGAGGAAGCGGGGCATGGCAAGGCACGGGGTTGGAGGGATGAAACTTTTGATAGCAAAGGCGGGCCATTCCAGGCTTTGAAGTGGAGTAGTGATATGGTCTGATTTATGTTTTAAAAAACCTGTAGGTTGATTTGGAGCAAGCTAAACATGTGAGGAGAATACAGCGAAGGTCTAAGAGAGAGAAGGGTGGCGCGAGGGCGGTGGCTGTGGAGGTGGAGAGATCTGTTTACAACCTGGGGGGAGAGATGAAAGGTGCACGAGCAGCACAAGGATGAGGCACCTCTCCTGTGACCCTGCTCGCCCGTCCACACGCTCACACCTTCCTTGGCAGTTTTGTTCTGTGGACAGAAGTCTGACTACTTTTCCTATTTTCCAAAATCTTTTCAAAAGGGACTGGGAAGTCATGCCCACAAACATTAACAGATCATTTCTTTTCTTTTTTTCTTTCTTTTTATTTTTTTAGAGAATTGTTTTATTTAACTTTATTTATTATTATTATCACTATTATTTTCCAGTTTGATCAGAGAGAGACAGAGAAAGAGAGAGGAAGTAAGAAAGCAAGCCACCAGGTCCGAGACTTGAACCGTAGTCAGCCATGTGGGAGTTCAGTGCCCTCAACCACCATGCCACTTGCTGGCCCCTCAGACCATTTATTTTCTATTAACAGGATTCTTCCTACCTCCTGTCCCTGGCATAGTATCTTCAAGATGTATATTTTATCGATTACAGTATATTCTTTTGCTTATCTCTTCCCAAGACACAGAACTTCCCTTTTTCTTGAGATGTAAATTAAGCCTTTCTTGAACTAATCTCTCCCCAAAACACAGATCTTCCCTTCCAGTCACCAACCTAGGAATTGTGGAACCCACCGATAACCTACAAGACCCGCTTCTACATGTCCCGACTTTTTGGGCTAGACCAATGGAAAAACTTTTCATTAATTGTTGTCTGTCAATCTCAAAAACAAATAAAAGGAACTTCTCTGTACATGATCACCCCGAGAAAGGCATGTATGCCTCTTCTCTGGGCCTAGGTCACTCACATTTGGCTTGGAAATAAACCACATTAATTATTAATTATTAATTTTACAGTTGGTTATTTTTTCTGTCGACAGTTCCCCTTTTCCTGTGCACTCAGAGCTTGGCTATCCTCACAAATGGATGGAGGCCAGAAAATGCCCACACCCCTCTGTTCTCTCCCTGTGACCATCTCGGAGGGAGAATTCAGCGTGGCTTTGGTTAAGATGATAAACATAACTAGGTGGGATGAGAAGAGTGAGAGTTTCAAGTAGGAGTCACTCTCGCCCCAGATCTGGGACTTCGCTAGTTAGGCGCTGCAGAACCCTGGAGGGGAGCTAGCTGACTGCCCCTCTGCATACCTAGCTAACTGGGTCCTGGTCCCTGGAGAAGCTGCACCCGAGTGCTATGGCGTGCCATGGCGACAGTGTCCCCATCTCCGTGCCCCAAGGAACGGTGAACCACAGGTGGCAGGAGGTTTGGGAGCCAGACCCCTGGGCTTTCTTGCAGGGCCACTTTGTTGTCTTGGTGACAGTCATAGCTGAGCTGTGCTGTTTTGTCTTCACCCCTGGCAAAGGGTTAGTCACACCCTGCCTGGGAAGGGCTGGCGAGGCCACAGTTCAAGGGAGAGGAAATGCCAGAGGCCACAGAGGAGGGAGGAGCCAGGTACTGAGAGAAAAGCTAACCTCTGGTAAGTCAGGAAGTGAGGAATCAAAAATAAGGAAGTGCTCGAGGAACCACAGGATGGGGGCTTGTCAAAGGGGGACAGGGACTGACCCCAAGGAGCAGCCATGGCCAAGCAGGAACAATTGGAGCAATACGGTAAATAACGCAGTATTGGATTATTGCCCCAAATATAAAACAGACATATATGTGTCCATGTGACAGACAGACATATCTGAACGAATAAGTGAATGTGGAGGAGAAAGACGTTTTCCTTTGCCAGGAGTTCCTTTGACAAGTGTAGGTGTTCCTCCTCTTGGGGGTGGAGCTTAGTTCCCCTCTCGCCCATGTGGGTGGACTTGACTCAGTAACTGGATTCCAAGGAGGAGCGTTTGGGAAGGGAGAAACAGTAACGTTATGTTGGAGAACCCTGCACACACGGTCTTACCCACGTGCTGCCGTGTAAACACCATGTGCATTTATGAACCCCTGCATGAGGCAATGAGAGGGGCCCCGTCTCTGTGGCATTCTTCCCCCAAACTCATAGCCTCAATCTAGTCATGAGGAAATACCAGCTACACCCAAATGAAGGGATATTTTACAACATATCTGACCATCAAGGTAATTAATGTGGTTTATTTCCAAGCCAACTGTGAGTGACCTAGGCCCGGAGAAGAGGCATACATGTAAACTGCATTAATTATTAATTATTAATTTTACAGTTGGTTAT